CAATCCAGTTATTATAGAATCAGTTAAGTGTCGTACTGTGTCCTTTCCTAAATCCTGATTGGTGTAAGGGCAATATTTTATTTGAAGTGAGAAAGCTATAAATTTGCTTATGCGCAATCTTCTCTAAAACTTTAGAGAGAACCGGAAGCAAACTTAAAGGCCTCAAATCGTTGAATGATAGAGGGTTATTTTTTTTTTTAGCCACCTGTACAACAACTGCTTTTTTCCACTGATCAGGAAAATAACCTTGTTCTAAACAACAGTTAATAATATGTGTAATATACGGTAAAATGACTGGCATACATAATTTAAGCATATCCAGAGAGATGTTGTCTGCTCCACTGGCATTCGATTTAACTTCAACAAATGTTGTCAGAACAGCATCCATGTCTACAAGACTAAATGTAAAATTATTGTTATTAATATATTTATGAGTACGATAATAAGCCGTTTTTTCACTACACTGGACATTGCTGTTTTGGTAAACCGCTACAAACGCTTCATTTATCTTGAAGGGGTCTAATAACTCGTGAGGTATGTCATTGTTTTTTTAAACTTGCATATTCATTGTTTTTAAAGTTTTAAAGAATTTTGACACTCCCTGTCCACTTACGTAACGTAAATATGCAGCTTTTTCATTTTTTGTAGACGCAACAGCAACATTTCTAAGGCGTTTGTAGTGATCCCATGCTTCAGGCGTTTGAACACGCTTAAAGTTAACCAGAGCTCTGTTACGTTCTTTGTAAATATTTTTTAAATTTTCCGTTAACCAAGGAGCGCAAGGTTTGCTAACTCTAACAGTTCTGTAAGGACAGTGAATATATCAAATAGCTGGGTAATAGTGTTAGAAAGAAATCGAACTTTACTTTCTATATCTCTTATAGAGATTAGGTCATGCCAAGGAAAATTAGATAGGTCATTGTTAAAACAGTCAAAATTGATTTTTTTAAAGTTTCTAGAAGTGACAAATTTTTGTTGATTACCAGTAAGATTAAATTTTATGACGCAGTAAGCACTTCTCCAACACCTTAATTTAAAATCGGTAATGTACCATTGAAAAGGTAATTTATTGGGAGATTCAGAAATATTTCGGTACATTCCGTTACTTAAATTTTATTGCCCTCTAGCGGGATAAAAAACTACTACGTATTATAGATTGTGACACTACAATGTGTAGTACATCATTAAAAAGGTAATTTTATGGGAAATTTAGAAATATGACTGTTCATTGCGATACTTTTAATTGTACTGCCCTCTATCGGGATAAAAAACCGGTACGTATTATAAAGTGTGACACCTTATTTGAAAGCTTATTTAATTACTAATTCAATGCACCACATAACATAAATATAAATATCCTCCATATTGCACCTGCAATAGTTTGAAAATTAGTCATGCATTATTTTAAACATTATTGCTAACTTTATTTTGTTGCAAGTGCAATATGGAAATATTTATATTAATGTTATGTGGTGTATTAAATTAGTAATTAAATTAGCTTTCAAATGAAGTGTCACACTTTATAATACGTTACAGGTTTTTTTATCCCGATAGAGGGCGCTAAAATTAAAAGTATCGCAATAAAAGTCATATTTCTGACTTCCCCATAAAATTACCTTTTCAGTAATGTGCCGTACATCATACATTCCTTATTTAAAAATAAGAGGTTGGAGAAGTGGAAGGGAGGGGGTTGACATATGACAGATGCCGGTATTGTAAAAATGTGTTCAATTCGGAATAAAAACCGACCTGTTTAGGCAGTTTTGAGTGACCCACTCTGTATATCAAAAATTGCTAGTTTTATCGAATTAGTTTATAGAACAAAATGTGCTTAAAAATGCATTTTTTACCAGATGCGCTATACAGGGTGTTTCAAAAAGGTATGTCATAAATTCTTCCACAGATAGATTACCAAAAAATAAGTGGATTTGGCTATATTTACCTATATCAAAAACTGGCTCCTAACAAAGTTACAGGGTGTTAAACTAACATTCAAAAAAAGGTTTTTTTTTTTTTTTGTAAAAAGTTTGCTATTGCGAATTTTTCTATGAAATTTTTGCCAGTGCTGTAGATTTGAAGGCGCAATATTCCAAGGAGAAAAAAACTTAAAGCGACCCCTTTAAAAAAAGTTTAGGGGTTGGGTACCTTTTAACCCCCCCGTATTTTTTTTGTCATAAAGAAACTTGCCTTATCGATCTAAAAATCATAAAGAACTATGAATTTTTAATTGTTTTTTATAGCAAAATGAACTTTGTATCTTTCTTAGTTAACGAGCTATTTATAATTTTTTAATTGCATATCTAGAGCAATTCGTCCGTCCTGGACTTAACATATCAACAAAACTAAGAGTAGATCAGGAGTTATTGTACAAAAAACGCATATAAAAATCACCACACCACACTTAGATCACTTTAATTTTGATTTGCTAAATATTAACAGCTGTTTTGAATTTTTTGTAAACGCAAAGAGTCAGATTGTAGTGATGCTGGGCCGTACACAGTGTCGCAGTAAAAAAGTTTTGAAAAAATTAATGATTCACAAAGTTTTATTTTTATTTTCGTGGAGAGCAAATCTCGATTAGGATATATCAACCTCAACATATTGTAACAGTTTTGGGATAACATATTAACGTGTTTGCTAAATCGCAAATTAGAATCTAGCCACAAACCTAAATTCTTTCCTTCGTTGGTAAATAAAAGAGGAATATCGCCTATTTTAATTTCCAATTGTAAAGCTCTTTCGCGTGGTTTTTTTGGACCAAATAAAATGGCAATAGATTTATTAGGATTCAATTTTAAATTGTGTGCCGCAGAAATGTTAAATAAACTTTTGAGGTCATTATTAAAATTAGATTGAAAAGAAACCAATGAGTCAATATTACAAGATAAATAGATCTGCGTGTCGTCCGCGTAATGGTGTACTGAGCAGTTTTTAACGAAAATATGAAAATCCGCTATGTATAGGGAGAATAGAGTTGGTCCTTAAATGGTTCCTTGAGGTACCCCTTTTGTTACAGGTAAGGCATTTGATGTTTCATGATCTAATTTAACTTTGTGAGTTCTATTGTTAAGGTAGTTTGAAAGCAAGGCAACAGCTTCTAAGGAAAAACCGTAGTTGCTAAGTTTATTATATAATATTTTATGATCAATAGTATCAAATGCCTTACTGTAATCCAACATAACCAAAAATGTAATTTTGCCCTGATCAGTTGCATGGAATAAGTCATCAGTAATGGATGCAAGGGCGGTGGTAGTGCTGTGTTGTCTCCTGAAACCCGACCGAGCGGAATTTATTATTTCTTTTTCATGGGCGTATTCAGTTATTTGATCTTTGAGTATTTTCTCGAAGCATTTGGAAAGGGTAAGTAAAATACTAATTGGTCGGAGATCAGAAAGGTTTGACGGTTCAGTACATTTGGCTAGTGGGAGTATTATAGCGTGTTTCCATGCATTAGGATATTTTGATGTTGAGATTATCTTATTAAAAATAAAGGTTAAATAATTTAGTAAATGATCTTCGACTAAATGTAGCATGCGCAAAGAAATGTCATCAAGACCGACAGCGTTACTTTTTATGTGATGAAGGGATTTTCTTACTGATTCAGCAGTAACATTTTTGAAATTAAATTGTGAATTAAATTTTTGCTGTGTGTAGCAATCTAATAGACGTAATTGATTAGGAGTTTTATCAATATTAGGCAATCTATTAAAGTGTAAATTTATGTCATCGACTTGTTTTAAATTAGGAGGAATATCTGGATTCGAATTTTTTCTGAGAATTCCAAGGGATCGGAGGGTATTCCAAGTACTTTTTGAATTTTTATGTTTAAGTATGAAATCAAGGTAGGCTTTTTTTCTCGCCGAATAGCTCCATTTGTGTAATTTCTCAACTGGGTATAATAGTTCCAGCTACTCACAGTTTTTTCTTTTTTATATCTGCTTAATGCAGAATCTCTTAGGCTGATCATTTTTTTAATATTGTATGTGAGCCACGGGGCATGAGGTTTACTTACTCCTTTAGTAACTCTTGGAGCGTGGTCGCAGAAAATTTCATTAAGGGAATGGTTTAAAAATGTAATCATTTCATCGACATTATCAAGGGAAAAAATACTATTCCAGTTAATATTTAGCAAATCAAAATTAAAGTGATCTAAGTGTGGTGTGGTGATTTTTATATGCGTTTTTTGTACAATAACTCCTGATCTACTCTTAGTTTTGTTGATATGTTAAGTCCAGGACGGACGAATTGCTCTAGATATGCAATTAAAAAATTATAAATAGCTCGTTAACTAAGAAAGATACAAAGTTCATTTTGCTATAAAAAACAATTAAAAATTCATAGTTCTTTATGATTTTTAGATCGATAAGGCAAGTTTCTTTATGACAAAAAAAATACGGGGGGGTTAAAAGGTACCCAACCCCTAAACTTTTTTTAAAGGGGTCGCTTTAAGTTTTTTTCTCCTTGGAATATTGCGCCTTCAAATCTACAGCACTGGCAAAAATTTCATAGAAAAATTCGCAATAGCAAACTTTTTACAAAAAAAAAAAAACCTTTTTTTGAATGTTAGTTTAACACCCTGTAACTTTGTTAGGAGCCAGTTTTTGATATAGGTAAATATAGCCAAATCCACTTATTTTTTGATAATCTATTTGTGGATGAATTTATGACATACCTTTTTGAAACACCCTGTATAAGAAAGATCCTCCAATTGAAAAAAAAAATTGAGCGCAGCGCCATCTACATATTGACCTATTTAAAATTAATTTATATCTAAAACTGAAGCTCTCTTAGCGCTCTATGAACTTAATTTTACAGAATTAAAATATCTCTATTACTTACCAGAATATTCTAACTTTGTCGTACAATCCTTGTAAAAAATAGGTCATTAATTTTTCTAAGTTTAGTCTGATTCAAGGGGTAAAGCACTAAGGTTAAAATGTACCCGTATTTCCCCCAAGAAATTGTATTACTCAGATATTAATGAGCGATTCTATTTTCAGATTGTTCGAAAAATATCCAACAGCGAAAGAAGTGTTTCCGTTTCGAGATATTCCCAATTCAGAATTGGCGAAAAATGCCAGAGTCAAAGTTCACGCCAATGCTGTGGTATATGCAATAGCGTCAATAGTTGACGCTATAGATAACGTAGATTTGTTGGTACCGATGTTAGAAAAGGTTGGAACCTCACACGGACCTAGGAAAGTTTCAGAAGAACAGTTTTTGGTAATTATAATAAAAAATATATTTTTTTCTGCGAGGGTAAAAAAGTCTGACTTTTTGCCTCTCTTGACAGGTACTAAAATGTCACTTTTTATAAAATTACGTTTTTCCTTGATGAATAAAAAGAGGAGTGCAGTAAACGTGGGGATATAACGTCACATTCCATAGGCGTACGTTGCAAAATAAGTTTATATAAAATAAGGTCACGGCATTTAAAATGGTATATTTTATATTCATTTCGTAGAATAAATTTTGGATAAAAGAAGATATTATTTACAAAAAATAAAAATAAACCTTATGCTTCTGACAAAATTGTTACACTTTTACATTGAACGAATTAAATTTAACCAATAATTGTAGAGATATTGCAAATTTCTATAACGTCAGCCACTAATAGTGACAACGTAATTAGAGGCAAATAAATTCCATGCTAAAATAAGACTTATTGCAAACCTGAAATTTTGATTTTAGAGTCATTGTCCTTATACATATTTCTAACCCCATTTTAAAAATTTTCTGATGTCTATAATAGTACATAACATTCAAGAGGCATTAGAAATTATAATTTTAGAAGGTTTAGATGACGATGATATTAAGCTATATTAAGCTATAAAGTCGCCGCTACCTGCTGTCCTTAAATATCCACAATTAAGTATAGGCACAATCTTGAATAAAGTCAGTTTTAGAACATAAACGATCTGCGTATGCTTAGATGTCAAAATAAGAGCGGCACCACATACTTTGATTTTCTTTTACTATACGGAGAATGGTCGCACTGCGCAGCTTTCTGAGTGCCTTTTAAAAGGAGATAGAAAACTCCGCCATTTTGAACCCTTATTACGTGTTGCCTGCATCTTGGCGCAATATTTTTAATAGGTGCGTTTTAATCATCCGCTTTTGCTTCGGAATTGTCGGTTTTCTTGTTTTAATCTGACAGGTTAAAACGACTAAACCGACAATTCCGGAAGCAGAAACGGATGATTAAAACGCACCTGATATTTTGCTTGCTGCTGTCAGCGTCAGTGAATATTATTTTTGGAGTCACAGTTTATTGCTAAAGAATCAGTTAGCTCACTCGGACCAGTTGAAAGTTCCAAAATAACATCTACTCCATGGATACAAATTCAGGATACGCAGAAGACTGCTTTTTTATTATAGGCGGTTGTTATATATTGTATTATCCGAGTTGCACAGTGTATAAACTGAAACATTGAGATCAAAAGTGCCGACGCAGAGTGAGCGATCTGATTCTTTAGCTGTAAACTGTGTCACAGGGTTCAAAATGACCGCGCCCTATGTTGGGCGTGTCGGACCTCTCTCTTGCCTCGTATAGTAATCAAAGTATGTGGAGCGGCACTAAAAGTGACTGACTAGTGGCGTACTCAGGGGAGCAAAGGGGACCATTGCCCCCCTTCCCCAGAAAAGCTAGGAAAAAATATGTTTTATTTTGTCATGAAAAATTGAAAAAAATGCCCACCCCTCGAGAAAACCAAGAAAAAATTATGTTTTATTTTTATCATTTACTTTAATTTATTAATAATATATAATTAAAGTATTTTTAGTAATTTTAGTAAGTAATATATTGATGTTTGACTTTTTTTTGTTTTTTCAAGAATTATTTGTTTTTGTTACTTTGGAATAATTAATTTTTTTGTTTGAGCCCTTGTACCTGTTTCGCGAAATGTATTTATTTTTTAGTTTGTGTAGTTTTTAAATTAATAAAAAAAATATGTTTCGGTGAGCTCAGGACCGGAGCAAGCGGAAAGGAGAATTTTGGAAAAAAAAGGGAGTGTTTCTTTTTGACGATCCTAACGACTTTTGGCAAGAGGGTGACGAAGGCGTTATTTTTTAACGATTTTAACAACTTCTGCGTAAAAATTGGGCGTGACAAACCCAAAATTTTCTGCCTTCGGCGGCCCCTGCGCAGGGGCTATACTTGACCTTTACCATATTACCCCCCCCCCCCCCCCAGCAATGAATCCTGGGTACGCCACTGTGACTGACCGTAGGTGCAATAACTCTCTAATAACAAGGAGGATTAAATTTTATTAATGGGATTAAACTTTTTTTTTAATTTTTTGGCATTAAAAGTAACACTTCAGTACCTAAAATCAAAGATTAGAAAAATAAAAAATTCAAGACCTATCTGTAATAGTAACTGTCTTCACTATAACTACTGGTATCATTATCATTCTCTTCTCTGAAGTTTATTATTATAGGGTCTATTAAGTTTGCCATTACTATATCTACTTTCCAAAATGAATTTTCCACCTATTTAACATGATCAATGCATTTTCTGCAATGTTCTCCATTTACATCTGAAACTGCCTTAAAAACAAATTTCGCACATCAGGTAATTTAAGTGTTGTATTGTTTTGAGAAACATAACCTTTTAATTGTGACCAGATCAGTTCAATGGGGTTTAATTCTGCGTGGTAGGAGGTAATATGAGAAATTTAATTCCTTTTTTTTCGGGCCATCTCGTCTATAATATATTTTTTGAATTTGTTTTTATGTTGCCTTGCTATTACGAGTAATTATGTCTTTAAGGATTTAGGAAACTTGATAATATTTTTAGAATTAGGCCATTCTGAAATATTTTCTTTTTTCCATCTTGTTGTAGGTAGTCACTCCTTTAATAGACAATTGACTGTGACAAGATGCATTATGCAAAACAATAACGGAGATGGCTGCAATTTTTTTTAATAATGTTCGAAAACCAATTTTCAAACAGAGCCATCCATTTCTTCATGGAAGTCTTCTGTATTCTTTGACTCCAACATTAATAAACTATCTGGCAAAAATCTATCGGTGCTCCCAATGTGGGTTATTATTCAACGATTTGCATTTCCTGTCGGATTTTTTAATTCACAAGAGACGCCTTCCATAAAGGCTTGTTTTTTTTAGTTTTGGTGAAAGTATCTTGCCAAATTTTTGTTACTGTATGTCCAGCATTAACATATGTTTCATCTAAATAAAGTATACACAAGTACAACGCTGTTTTTTCTAGATTTTTCAGGAGAGAAAAACCATAACTAAAACGCGACATATTCTTGTAACAATTTCCCATTTCCGAACCCAAAACATCCAAATCCCTCAATAATACCGACTCGGTAAGGAGTGAGGGCTGCAATATTGACCGAACTTTTAAATCTGAAAAGGGTTTTAGAGGTGGATGTATTCTCCATGGTCACAGGGCCCGCACGAAAGGAAGAAGCATCCCGGTAGTGTCGAATTATATTATATGTTTTTGACTTATAGATATATTTAAAAATGTAAATAAAATTTTTCTAAACTAAATAAAATACCTGCTGATTCCTTGTGCTCCAAGTTTTCCATAAATATTCTTGTTCCACGCAATGATTTCGACTTTCTCTATTAAAAAGCTGTTTCTGTCACGTTTTTTTATAACGGAAATTTAATTTATGTATTATTTTTTGAAGATAAAAATATGATATATTTGGAAGAGTGGGGCTATTTTCTATTTCTGAGTATAATTTTTTAAGTGTAGGAATTTTATTTCGAAAGAAAAAATGCCTTATTCCAGTCTTTACTCAAGTTTTAATAAAGGTCTTGTTCCTGGAGGCTTTTTCGGATGTAAGACTTCTCCAATGACTGTATCTTCTTTAATAATGGTATACACTGTGCGCTTAGATACTCCAGTACTCCAGTACTCCACACTTAGTGGCTATTTCACCCACAGAAAGTGAAACAAAGTCTTTTCGAAGATTATTAAATACGTTGTAAATGATATTTTTTCTTCTTAAGATATTATATTGTTCACTAGGTCATTTATGCGTACGTATGCTTGCAATATTTTCTAATGCACTGGCCATTCTTATATAACTGTAAAATTATGATATTATTACATAATACAAAATTGTGAATCAAATAAAATACATACGATTCGCTCATGAATAAATAAAGTCTGTAAAAACCATCACATGATTAAATCTAAACCAAAACTTTTATAAGGCCGATCTGATGTAATGAAATTTTTATTTTAACTACAAATAAGCATTAAACATGTACTACATTCTGCAAATTAATTTATTGCACTCCTTTTTTTTAGACTACAGTTAAATACACATAAATATTAACAATCGCCCTTTGTTTTACTTGGCAATAGTTTCAAAGATAAACTATTATCAATTAAGGACTGCTTTGTAATAAGTTTATTACCGGTAATAGGCGATTATCGTAAATTAAAATAATCATTAAGACTTTTATTTCTTATTTTCAACAACTTTTCTTGTCAACCATAAATCGTAAGTCACTTCCGACAATTGGCAACTGACTTGACTTCTGACATTGACAAGTGACATAAACGCGAATTTTAAATCATGACGGAGATGTATTTAAGTAGATAAAATGTTAGTAACCTCACATGACGGTATCTTTTCTATCCAAGAGGCCATTTTAAATGTTCCAGACTCTTCTATTTATAAACTTATTTATTATGTTTGATTTCAGCAACTGAAGGAGACGATAGTGGAACTATTTAGTAAGTTCATGAAAAAAGAAGAAGTCGAAGCATGGAAAAAAGCATTAGATGTTGTTATGTCTGTTATTAACAAAGCGCTAAAGACATATCTGGACGGACACTGACTAAAAATAACCCTCAATAAATATGACAATGTTTTTATTTTTGACAAGTTTTTTATCGTAATTTTAAGATTCGTGTATATAAAAGTAATTGTAATGTTTGTATTTTAACATTGGTTTTTAATTAAATGTATTTTAATTATTTGCATGTATTTTATCTATTTCTTCTCGAAGACCTATATTTTCATTTATTAAACATAAATAAAATAAATAGCACAGACATAATACAACTACTACGACTGTCTGTAAAAAGACAGGAAAGTAAAAATAATTTCTCCAAATTGCTTCTAAAAAATCAAATGTTCAGGATATATTTAACGAAGATATACCTTCATCGAAGTTATCGACCACTTTTCAAAAAAAGGGGGAAAGTATTGTAGTGACTTGAATGCACTACATACCTTCCTTCTCAACTCACCACAATTTATGCGTCATACACACTATAACCTTTAGATATCCTTACTTCACGTGGCAGCCTTACTGATGGATTAAAAACTCGCCTCGTTAGCAACCTCGGTTGCCCAGCAATATTTTTATTATTTAGATATACATCGTCATTATATATTTTATTTTCTGCTTCTACAATAAATTTATTACATTTACATGAAAAATAATGTATTTATAATTGGGATCCATAATTTGAGACCCCAAACTATGTAACAAGGTTGAAATGAAAATTTGATACGAGTGGAAGATTTTGAACGCCAGCCTAAAAAACCACGAGTATCGGATTTTCATTCCAACAGGGTAACAGACTGTACTTTCTTCACGACCATAGACAAAGTAGGAGTTGAATATAGTAAAATGAAACTTTGAACAAAATGAAATATTTAATCTAACTTATGATAGGCAAGTTTTTATTTGAATTATTTGCATAATTTGTTAGTTCAGGAGGAATATTATCGAATTCTATAGAAGAATCATTATAATCATCAATTTTTTAATATAAGTGCGATTTAACAAACGTCGCTTACCTTTATTCAGGCAAATTCAAACTAAATTCGAGAGACGCTAAAATGGTGGTTCCCACCTTATCGAGACTGAGGCCCACAATGGTAAACTCGCAGCGTAACAAAAACGAGAAATGATTTAACTTGGAACGAAATACCAAAAGCCGATAGTAGTATTAGCACGTTGAATTTTTTGGTTTATGAAGCATTGGAATTACTTAGATTAAACCATGTGATTATTTTCACAAGCCTTGATTTTTAAAACCATTCTATATCGCCTTTTTATTAGGGTTTAAAAACTTGTTCGAGCAATTTATCCAATAATAATTGGCCCCTTTACCTCTTAAGCCTGCTTATGTAAAATATTTGGGCTCCTTACTTCGCCTATTTATATTCTATTAATAAAGGACAGAAGGATCAGTATTGCAACTATGTTAAAAGAAATAAATTGGCTTTCAGTTCAGAATTATATTCAGTACATGACTGATATTTATTTATAAAATAAAAATGACGTAATACCATCGCATCAGATCTATTCGAAAAAATTCAATATAATTCGCAATATCACAACTATAATACAAGAAACCAATCTGACTTTCCTGTACGGCAAGCCATCACTAAAAGTTCCCAAAATACAATTTTTATTAAAGGTTTAAAAAATTTAATAGACTGTCTACAGAAATTAAAAAAAAAACAATAAATGTATTCAAAAGTAACCTCAAACAATACTTGATAAATAAACAGAATGGATATACTTTCTTGAGATAATACTCTTTAAACCTGCCGTTTTTAAGTATTTCCCTTAATTTATTGTTATTTTATCCCTCGTTTTATCCGCATTTATTATAGATTATTTGTTTGAGATCATGTACTTTATTTTAAAAAATTACTTGATGTTATATTATTAATACTTACTATGTTTAAATTATTAATAGTAATAGTAAAACTATTTTTGTGCAAAAGTAGATCCATAGAGAGCAATGTAATTTACAAAGGCCTTCTTTCAACATACAAATAAATGACAACTTTATAATTAAATTTAAAAACACAACAAAATACCTCGGTATCATAATAATTGATCCAAATTTAAAATGGGCATTATTTCCTACCTCTTTTATATAATAAAAAAGTGCTTTGTATAGAAACATTATATTATCTGTCTTGCTGTACTTTTATTTATGGAAAGCCTGAATTGAGATATTTATTATTTGCAATAAATATCAAAAGAAGTATACATTTTTAAATAATTTTACATTTAAGAGCCTTTCACACATCACAGTTGACATCTTGATACTTGACAGCCAAGCATTATTTTGATTTTTGCCAAATAAAATGACCGGTTAATTATTCTATGGGATTACGACAGAGAACCAATAAATTTGATGGTGTTTTTGTGGCTAGGGGCGAAATAGTAGTACGCTTAATAGCGCCACCATAAAAAAGTCATTTTAAAGAAACTGTTTATATATTTTTCATAAATTGGCAGGCTTAGCGACTAATTTTGAATGGAAATAGCCACCAAAATGGCTATATGGTTGCAAGTATGAGGGTCGCAACCCGCCTTTAAATTTCACCTTTACTATCAACAGCTGTTGTTTGACAGGTCGTTAGAGAATGTTTGTAATTTATGGAATGTAAAGAATGTTAGGAATGTTGACCTTAGAAAAAATTTAAATTCCTAAAATTGTCACAAGGAATGTATAGGCGGATTTTAAGAAAATTGTTATTAATGTAGTTAGGATGAATATAAAATTCTGAAAATCAATAGGGTTCTAAGTTAGAAGTAATTATTCAAGAAAATCAAAACCGCAAGTCAATCAGAACTTTCGTTCTAGAGTTATCGTGCCGGCATACATACATACAGACGACCAGACGAACATTTTTTTTTTGGATTTTCGGAATGATCAGAAACATGAAAATAAGTTTTAAAAAATGGGGGTCAGAAAATTTTTTCGTCTACACGAATGCAATACTGAGGCCCCATAGGAAGGGCCTCAGTAATACTAATACGTCGCCTAGAACTATCTGGCACGAAATTCATGACTACGATGCGGGCGTGGTATTCACAGCCAATGGCCAGTAGCTAGTATACAGGGTGCCCGAAAAGTCAAGGATAATACTAAAAGGGATGATGGACCAACTCATTAGCTTTCAGAAAAACATCTATGGTTTTCGAGATATTGCCACTTTAATAAAATGTATAATTCTTAGATTCTGATTTAGGTTTTGCAACTGTGAATAGCCATTTCATTTAACTAAGACCAACATTGAACCAAAAGTTCAAAATATTCAATAAAAAATCTTATTTTACAGAGAAATAATTTATTTTTATTTTCCACCACTCAAGTTTAACACCTCATACTGTACAAAAAAAGGTCTACACTAACCTGGCTAGTGATTTGAAAAGTTTCCTCATTTAATGTACTTTTAAAAACTTGTTTACTGTTATTGACTTACAGTGAAGGATATACCTAATTTACCTTATGAGAACATTCTAAAAATTAAACAAAATTAAATCATGTTAATAAAAAATGTATTTAACTTAAGAAACATAAAAAAATCAAACAATATGTTCAAAGTGACCACCACCAATGCGAATGCAGGCGCTGAATCTTTTTAAAAAGGCCCTCTTTATCCATCTTGCATTTCTTGCTAAGTTTATCTCTTGGACTGCGTCAGTTATTTGCTGACGTAATTCATCAATATTACTTATTGGTTTTGCATAAACCTTTTCTTTTATGCAACCCCAGTAAAAAAATCTAGGGGGTTTAGGTCTGGAGACCTGGGGGGCCATAAAATTGGACCAAGTCCAATAAATCCATCTGTGGGGGTAGGTTTGATATAAATACGCACGAACTTGATGTGTATAATGTGCCGGGTAGCCATCATATTGAAACCACATTCTTCGGCGTGCGGCCAAAGGAACGTCTTCCAAAAGAAGCGGTAGGTGGGTTTGACAAAAATGTAAATAAGCTTGCCAGTTTAGATTTTCTGGTAATTCGAATGGACCAATTACATGTCCGTTTAGGATACCAGTCCACAGGTTTACTTTGAAACGCTACTAGGGCTTTTCTTTTCGAATGGAGTGGAGATTTTCCAACGCATAAGAATGCAAATTGTGCATTTTCATAAAACCATCCTTTTTAAATGTACTCTCATCTGACCACAGTACATTGTTTATAAAGTTCGGGTCCTCTCTATTTTTTGCAACATTCTGCGGCAAAACCGTACGCGTTGTTCGTAGTCCCGAGGCAGCAGGGTTTGTACACGTTGCACGTGATATGGGTGATATTGATATCTCCTAGTGATCTCGTTTACTGTCGATTGGGGTATCCCTGTTCGTTTTTCTATTGTTCGCGCCGAAGTAGTTGGATCGTTTTCAATTTCTTCTAAAACTTCGTAATCAATGCGGGGGTCTCGAACAAGAGCGTGAGGAATCCCGCCCTCCGAATATGCGCGATGAACATTGATAAACACACGATAATCAGGATATCGTGCCAAATTTGGATATCTTTCCCGATAAAGGTTAACTGCCGCTAGACCATTTTCTCTGCATTTTCAATAAATGAGATGCATGTTTGCATACTCCTGGGTGGTATACAGCAGCGGCATATTAAACAGTTCAATCACCAACACAAATAATTTAATCAACACAAAATCCACAGGAAAGTCAGGTTACTTAATTTGATCTCCAATACAATCAAATCCAAATCAAGAGGTAACACACAATTCCAGATACAAGCAAAAGTTATTGACAGTGCAGTAACAAAACAACAACAAAAATGTTTTTCCTTGTTGCTATGGCGATAACACTTGTTTCATGGCCTCCTAGTCTAGGCTGTTGATTTTTGTTTAATTTTTGGTAAGAGAAATAAAACTTTTTAATCAATGTTATTAATGTTCTCATAAGGTAAATTAGGAATATCCTTCACTGTAAATCAATAACAGTAAACTTTTTATTAGAACAATGGGTAGTTTTTAAAAGTACGTTTAATGAGCAAACTTTTCAAATCACTAGCAAGATTACTTTAGACCTTTTTTTGAACAGTATGAGGTGTTAAATTTGAGTGATGGAAAATAAAAATAAATTATTTCTCTGTAAAATAAGATTTCTTATTGAATATTTTGAAGTTTCGGTTCAATGTTGGTCTTTGTTTATTGAAATGGCTATTCACAGTTGCAAAACCTAAATCAGAATCTAAGAATTATACATTTTTTTAGGAGTGACACTCGAAAATCTGATCCAATCGATTTTTTACTGAGGTCATATTATGTTTTTCTGGAAGCTTATGAGTTGGTCCATCATCCCTTCCAGTATTATGGTTGACTTTCCGGACACCCTCAATGAACAGTGTAAAATACATCAGACAAGTGTTTCTGAATTTTCTTTCAATCTTAAGAGCGAGAATGTGAAGAAAATGTATTAATATAGTTCTCTAATTACATATTTTAAATACAAAGTCTTTCATTTCTTTTAAAAGTTATTTCTTGAAAACCAAACATACCGTAAAAATGTCAGTTACAGCGTTTGTACAATAAATTTATAAGGACATTCCTACCTGTGGGACTACTGTAGTCTACTGTAAAAACTTTCTTTGAGTTCATTCCGTTTGTGTTTCTAGATTGTAAATAAACAAACACCAACATCGCTGAATTTAAATATGTTTCCAGGCAATTTAATGTGTTCGGAAAATGGGTGGAAAAGTGAGTTCCTTCTACGTCGATAAGGGCAGAACGGACGATCCTGACCCTATTACCGGCTTAACAACTAGGGATAAATATTTAATCGACACAACCTGGAATACGGTAATGGAGGATGCTACTGGGAACGGGGTCACGTTTTTCATGAGGTGAGGAATAATATTTTCTCTTTACTAATAATAATATATATACCATAGGCTGATATAGAATTTACAACTTGAGTAAATAATATTAGGTTTGGCAAAACAAACTTATATTTCGTGAAAATTTATTTTATTTAAAAGGTAAAGCGGTTTCGGCAGTACGCCATCTTCAGTGTTTATCTAAAATAAATATAAGTGGAAATATATAGATATGAACAAAGAATTGAAGATTACAACTTTTTATCTAGATTTTATGAAAGTTACAATTAACAAAGTTAAAGTTATAAAATTACATTTAATAGTACAGTTTTACCTAAAAATTTACGATAAAAACATTTATATAGGTACAAAATGAAACTGGAGAAAATTTCCTACAATTTGTGTAAAGTGTAGTTCAACACCCATTTTGGTAAAATTAATTTTCACATCACCTTGAAGTATTGTAAGCCGTGAGTTTTTTTACGTGGTATCCCCAGTAGGCCTAATTCACATGCAATTCACAATTTAAACAGGGCGTTCTTCTTCGCCTCGCTTCGCTGTTCTTGATGGACCAGGTTTGCAAGTTGATTGTCTTTAGTACCGTTCAAAATGTTACAGCCCGGAATTTCTTCCACATCATCCGCGATGGGATTATCAATTTCATCGCAATCCTCTTCGTTCTTGATTTCATTATACGTTTGCTCGAAAATAGTTTCTGTTCCTTCCTTTTTATCGCTATCTTGTAATGGAACTTGCGAGTTAGGTAACACTACAATTTATGCATATAACGGAGCACTTTAACCCAACCTTAGCAAGCTTTCCGGGGCTGGAGGCTCGAATGTGGTGACAGGAATTAGCCCGTTCTTGTTTCTTTTCAATCCACATTGCTCTGCATTTTGTTCATTCCCATACCACTGCGTAACCTGGTGATAGGTTCAGAAGAAATATCATCGTGCTGCTGCTTCTGTTGGAGGTAGCGTCAAAATGTTAAATTTACTTTTATGTGCTGATGTTGTAAAGCATGCAGCCCATTGCGTATGATATGAACAAACATTTTGGCCTGTGACGTTTCGTACGGTACTAAAGACAATGAACTCGCAAAAATAGCACAGGGTTTCTTATATGCGGATTCGACACATTAGATGTTGAATAGAGCACGAATAGAGAGAGACATAACATGAGAATCGCAGTGTGTCAAACGAAGATAGGCGTCTCGGCAGGTATCGTATCAAAAGATGAGAATTCCACTGCTGGTCCATCAAGAACAGCGAAGCGAAGGAGAATGCGCTAACTTTTAAAATAGTGAATTACATGTAGATTAGGTCTACTGGGGATAATACAATAAATAAAATGTGCCGCTTAGAAAATTAAAAAACAGGATCGAATATTAAAGAAAAACGCGGATGTAAACAAATATTAATTTTGGATGATTACGTTAACACGCGATTCGCTATAAAATTTCATTATTTTTTTTTTAATGAATCCCTACTGTGAATAAAATTAGTGCCTAATTACAGAGGGATAGTTATTTGCCAAAAATATCGCGTCGAGCCTTAAGACGTGAATTTTCATTATTTGAAGAGCAAACGTGATAATGCACTATTGGAAAAAGAGAGAGATTTTTCATTATTCGGGTATTTTAAGATATTTGCTGTATAGATAATTAAAAAACAGTTTTTAAAGTTACTGGTATTTTATTTAATTATAAAGGTACCGAAGTATGTTGTTTTGTAAGTATATATTAAAGTTTATGGTCTCAGATATACAATGAATCTATAATAATAAAAAAAGTGTTAAAAACATGTAAATGCATACATGTTTTCATCAAATTTTCAATAAGGATTATTGTCGAATTTCGACCATTGGGCGAACACTAATATTTATTAAATCCTTTCATGTAATTAAATAACTTTTCAACTTCAACAGTTAATTATGAATTTGCTTTTCAAAAAAAACGTCAAAATATACTTCTAACTCTTACCACTTTCATGCCTCACCTGGAGTGACCTGACATTCACCAGCAATAGAACGCGCCTATTTTGACGTCCGTCATATTAATGTCAACAGGTGACACTTGACATTGTGGTCACTTTAGCCATTCTAGAAAGAAAAATGTTTAAAACTAAAAAACGGCTCATAAATTGAATAAAAACCTTTAATTTTAACAAATTAACCAAAATTAATATAAATAACGATTACTATTTAGCAAGCCGAGATTATCTAAAATTTAATGATTCTAGACACGATGAAGATTAATTAAGTCTTTTTATAGATATTATGTATTTTTAAAATTAATTTTCGTATAACTCAATATTTTAACTAGGGCTTAATAAAATTTGGTATTTATTACATTCACCCCTTTTTTTACTTTAATATATATTTTAGTTGTTGACTGATTTGGGCAGTGCCCCTTCTCTTAACACAAGCGTAAGCTTTATAAGGTTATCTATGAATACGAAGGGTTGTTGGCCATATCAGCGTTTTCAATTTTGTTTTTTTTTTCTTTTAGAGTAGTCATTTGGTTCTAAAAAAAGAAGTTATCTGGGCAATTTTATGGATTTTGATGTATTTTTTCCTAATTTGCCGCTTACGCCGTCATATTGGAAAGATGACGCCTAAAATCAAATTTGACAATTTCTCCTTTTCGGCTCATTTCACGATAAAAACTTTTATATGCAAAATAGAACTAAATAAAATGTCTTAAAATTTATGTAATAACATTTTTCCTCATAAAATCAATAGCTTTGGCATACGAGCGCTGCAAAGTATAGTTCAACGCGCGTTTTGGCCAAAAAACTCATTTCCACACCACCTTGAGGTAGAGTAACAGTAACAGTAACTTTAAAAACTGTTTTTTTAATTATCTATACAGCAAATATCTTAAAATGCCCGAATAATGAAAAATCTCTCTCTTTTTCCAATAGTGCATTATCACGTTTGCTCTTCAAATAATGAAAATTCACGTCTTAAGACTCGACGCGATATTTTTGGCAAATTACTATCCCTCTGTAATTCGGCACTAATTTTATTCACAGTAGGAATTCATTAACAAAAAAATAATGAAATTTTTTAGCGAATAGCGTGTTAACGTAATCATCTAAAATTAATTTGTTTACATCCGCGTTTTTCTTTAATATTCGATCCTGTTTTTTAATTTTCTACACTCCGTTTTTTTATTGCTCGATAAACCGTACTGTTTGAAACAATTTCTTGCAAGATTTTACTGCTTTAACCACTGAATAATCTGAAAAATGTTTGCTTCCGAAAAATAATGCTGTTTCCATCGAGAGTTGCTACTAAGGCTGTCAATTCCTGACTTGATAAACGGTTAACCGGTTCGACTGATTTTGACCGGTTTTGGTTTTAACCGGATTTTTACTATTATTATAACCGGTCCAGATATCCGGTTAACCGGTCCGATTATCCAGTTAACCGGTCCGTATATCTGGTTAACCGGTCCGGATATCCGGTTAACCGGTCCGTATATCTGGTTAACCGGTCCGGATATCCGGTTAACCGGTCCTATTATCCGGTCAACCGGTCAGATTATCCGGCTAACCATCAGATTATCTGGTTAACCGGTCCGATCAGACCGAACCGGTCGAACCGGACTAGTTAGACCGGACTTGGCGGTTTAACCGTAACCGTGACCAATTAAACCCGTCACTGGTTTATCCGTTACTGGTTTATCCGTTACTGGTTTATCCGTTACTGGTTTATCCGTTACTGGTTTATCCGTTACTGGTTTAACTGTAACCATCACCAGCTTAATCGTGGCATATTTTGGATAACCGTGATGTAAATTTATTAAAAAATAATTTCTTAGTTTTGCTTTCTTTTATTATTACATTTGGAATGTTTATATTTGTATTTTTTTTTTTAATAAATACAATCTCATTTTGTTTTACTTACTTTTAACTGTATAAATTTTAAACACATCGATGTTTATAAATATAGTTTTCTTCACTTCGGTCATTTTAATGCCATCGATACTTTGTTTTTGGTATATCATTCGATGTCAGTATCGACGTTTTAAGAAATATGCGCATCCCTACTAAGAGCTTAAACTATACTTGTTCGTTTACGTTCACGGTCTCGCTAAAACCCGTTTAGAGTACGGTTAAACCAGTTACGGCTCAAAAAGTGACAGGTTTAACCGGTTCGATTAGAGTTACACCGGTTGCGGTTAAACCGGTTACGGTTAAACCAGTTATAAACCGGTCTCGGTTAAACCGGTTCCGGTTAAACCGGTTACGGGTAAACATGTTCCGGTTAAATCGGTTACGTTCTTTAACGGTTTTTGGTCCTACGGAACCGGTTAATCGGTCATGGTTACTAGCCTTAGTTGCTACAGGTAATTTTAAATGGCCTTTAAACAAATTCAAAAGGAAAACAATAAATAAAATAATTTACCGGAAATTATATTAATTTATCCAATTCTCTCCGACGCTCATGAACAGAAACCAAACAATGTTATTAACGAACTAAACTCACAAGTTACAAGTTACCTTCTTCCTCCATGGATTATTGCCTCTCCAAATGAAATATTGTCGACGTTGCATTTTCTATACAGTGTGACTCAAATATGGTCGTTTTTTTGCATGGTAAATAATGCGAGGGGCTTTCAAATTCCCAGGCACATGACAATATGTAACAAATTGATCGACAGCTAGTAGATGACCTAGCTGTGTTGTTAATGTGAATCAAATTACGTATAATTTATTAAGTTTCGAAGTGATCTCTATATTTTTTTTCTGGCACTATTTTAGGTTGTTCGAAATCAACCCAAAGCACAAACAAGTATTTCCTTTTCGTGACCAACCAATCAAAGATTTACCTAGTGATAGAAAATTCCATGCCCATGTCACTAGTGTGATGTATTCCATTAGTTCTATAGTTAAAAGCATGGATGATCCAGAAGTGATGATTGGTATTATAAACAAGATTGGTAAAAATCATGCTAAGAGGTCGGTAAACAGACAAGCATTAATCGTAAGTATTTCTTAATTTGACATATAATTATTTGATTTCATATACGCCATTAATAACATAAATATTAATATTGTTTCTAACTTAGTTATTATTATTTTTTGTAAAATCTACATATTACCTGCTTAATATTTGATAAAACACATACTTGTTTTTTAACATGTTATTCGTGTTGTTCTTTTTTTTTAATATTAAATTTTGAAAAGTAATAAATATGTAAATAATAATTTTGAACTAGCATGAATATATACAGGATGGGCCACTGGTAATGCCTCGGTTCGCAGAGCCAAAACAAAATTGGTTATCACAGCAAGATGTATATCAGAAAAGACAACAATTTAAAAATAATTTTAATTATACAGGGTTTCCTCGCTTTTCCCATAATAACAATACCAAATTATATAAGATTATACAAAGTATTTTACTCGCAGTTTTATATGAAAATCGTATTGATTTCAATGACTTGTATAGTGCAAAATTAACAATTGAAAACCAATTTTTTTTACAGTAAAAGGTTTTTGATATTAGTCAACATTTATGCCGATATACTACTTTTTTAATTATAAAAAAATCTGTACAGGGTGTGTCTAAATTCAAATACATAATTTTATCAGTTTTTTAAACTGACCATCATGTATTTCATATCACCATTTAAAAGTCCTTAATTAAAGTTCCATTTGAGATAAGCATTCTCTATACCTAAAGTTAATAATTTTGAAAAATATTTAAATTTAAATGAGAAAAAGATAATTTACAAAATACTCTAATTTTAAATGATCAGTGGTTAATAGGAAATTAATTGGTAATTTGAATTTAACCAGCTATAATTTATTATCGACTGAATAAGTTTTTGACAATACCTATTGTAACTTTTACATCCAGTGAAAAATAAATAAAAATAGCAACCGAAAACTTCACATAATACCTACTTTAATCTAAGTTTATTAAGTGTTATCTTGACAGATTTTATCGAATTAGAAAACCTTATCTAAGTAGCCTTCAATAATAATTATGGAGGTCTTAACACATTGACTGCCACGCCATACATATATGTATGACTACGGCCGCATCATCCATATATGTATGACGGTCGATATTTCACTGCAGGCTGCGTCGTTCACTTATGTATGATAGCCTATGCTATATAAATGGGGGTTTTGTACGCTGGTCTCCCTCTTGATGTTCAGGTATACTTAGTCTGAAAAAAATCGAACTATTTTGGATACAGGAGTAAGAAAAACATATAGTGTAAAGAATCGCATTTATTCTTTTAGGGTTGAAAAATAAAATGTAAAGTTCTTCAAAAACTAAACTTAAACTAACCTAGAACTCTAAATTGAGAAAATATTTCAATTTTCAAAGCTTGAAAACCTAAATAAATCAAAATAATAATAGTTCCAATAGGCACATAAAATAAACTGAAATTTATTTATGTTTAAACACGACATGCACATTTGTGGCTGCTCCGGGCATTTTTCACAAAAAGTATATATGAATGACATGACCCCACAGAGTAGATATTACAATATTTTTCCCTGAGAGGCCGCGTCATTCATATATGTATGACAGTATCAAATTCAAAAAAAGGCCGAAAACAAAAAAAAAATTATCAAATTTGTTCAAAATGAACATAAATACGCCGGTAAACAGGAAAAAAAAAAACAGTTGGCCTGGGGGAAATTGTTACGATTCTGGCTTGGCAGTCAATGTGTTAAGGTGATTTTTAAGGGTACAACTCATATTTCTAAGCATTTTTTAAATAACACTCGAAATACTTCCCTTATTCACGACTAAAGGTCATATTAAAAACTGGCTAGATTTAAAAAAAATTGCAACTTATGACGTTGGTAATAAATATCTATCAGTATTAGGGTTTCAAAGTCCAGAAAGGTTAGTGGGTTTTTGTAAATTCATTATAAAAAACTACAAGTCAAAAAAACATGTTTTGGCTCCACAGACCAAGGAGTTACCGGTGGTCCAACCTGTTTAATGTTTGGCATTCTATATTATAATCTTTACAGTTTAACAGATCCCCATTATCGCCCATTTTCAATCAATAGACTTTATCCACTTGTAATGCTAGATTTTTCTTGAAGATTTCAATTTGATATCGTTTTTTGTTTCTGGATTAGAATCTTTTTCAATATTTAATCCCCTTTTATCTCTCCATTTTTATTTAGCTTCTTTTTTCAAAATCAGTAGGTCTTATTCCCTTATAGAGCTTGAGTTTTACTAAAAATTACATATTGATATCGCTTTTGATTTTTGATTTTGATATTTTTATTTCACTTAGCCCCTTCATTTTTCAGATATTTTTTTTTTATCAATAGGCTTTGTCCTCCTATTTTTTATAAAACTTTTAAGTTGATATTATTTTTTATTTTTGAGTTAGGATTTTTTTAAATTTTTTAAATCCCCCTTAACCACAATTTTTATTCAGATTTTTTCGGAATCAACAGGCTTCATCTTCATATAGAGCTTGATTTTTACTAAACATTTATTGATATCGCATTTATTTTCCTTAACACTCTATCTTTAAATCAATAGGCTTTGTCTCTTTATAGAGCTTTAGAGCTATAGACTTTTTGATTTACGATTTTTTTAATTATTTTAAAATATTTCAACCCCCCTCTTAACATCCATTTTTATTCAGAATTTTTTTTTAAATCAGTAGGCTTTGTCCCTTTATAGAGCTTGATGTTACCTTAAATTTTAAAGTTAACATTATTTTTTGTTTTTGACTTATAGTGTAGACAAAAAATGTGACATCGGACGATCGGAAATTTTTAAAATTTATTTAAAATTTGATTAGAAGGATTGTGGCACAAAAATGTTTAAATTGGGACCAATATTAAAAATTTTTGTTTCTTAAAAGTAAACCTATAGTGAAAGAATATACTAATGATACACCTATTCGCCGAGGAATAAACTTCGCATATTTTTATAATAGTTGTTTACCGTGTAATAATAATAAAAAAATATGTATTGTTCATTCTCCATAACATTTTACCTTTTTTTAGTAATTCTAAGTTAATTAAACTCTTAAAAGTTGATTAGAATATTAATTTGATTATATGTTAACCTAAATTAAAATATTTGTTTTTCCTAATAATGTATTCTGTTTACACTAGATTCTCTTTGCTTATTCTTTCTATATAATCAAAATCTTCAGTCCTGACTTAAGGCGAGAGTTTAATTGCGCTAAATTTTATTTCCTAATAAATTTGAAAACTATACAAGATTGGGTAGACATTTTTGAAATAAATCAAAGCAGTTGCTGACGTCAATATAAATAATGCAACTTTGAGAATAATAAAAATAATATGTTTAAACAATTATAAAAAATGTTTATAGATTTTTTCAAGCAAATATTCTATTAATAATCAATCACGTTGAAACCAAATCTCAAATCAATTTAATAACGGAGAAAATTGAGAAATAAATTACAGACTAAATTTTCAAATAATATATGCGGCAAACCCTGTTTACCAATATGTTAGTGCATGCACTCGTCGATAAATCGAAACACAAGCAAGTCGAATCGTTCCCAACATTTAACACATGCACTGTATTCGGAATATGGTTTTAATTTTTTAAAGTGCAAACAGAAGACGAACTAATGTATGTTTCAAATTGACAGGGAATTAACTAGTGGCAACATTGACAATTCGTTATTCGCTTGGCCTTTGCACGCTGTATCTGTAAAACAAAATCTACGTCCATAGGCCATTTATACTAAATCGTTAAAAAATGTCGGGCAGGTGATTGCGTTTCGAAAAAAAAAAAAAGGTTATTCTCGAAATAATTTTTTTATTTCTGGTTCATTACTTAGATAGACTCCCGGTAACGACAGATTTTTCTTTTTTCAAATCGACAAGCATTTATTTTCACCTTTGGAGGAGTCCGGGGACGGTCTTGATATTTCGTAGGGATATTATTGTGATTTGTATCCGAATTTTCAAAATATAACTTATATTAATGTAAAATATCGCGTATTTTATTTAAAAAAATAATAATGACATCACAGTTCCGTGAAATAAAACAAGGAAAATTTCATGACCACTAAGTAATTGATGTATTTTTGCATTTTTACCAAAATGTAATTACCTATAAAGATTTTATGAATTTTATGCGTCTCTTTTATGATACACTGCTAAGTACTTTGGCAATTATATTGTATTGTTCTATCCAGGAGCGCATATATAGTGGAGAGGATAATAGGGATAGATACCCAGTAAGAATTTTGTAACCTAATTTTCTATAGTAAACAAACGTCTGGGACACTACGTATGAAGTAACCCACTTTAAGTAAAATAAAAGATACGTGTAGGTCAAATTTGTGGTGTTTCTGTGCAACCACTTTTCCATCAGGTAAAATACTTTCATCCCTTATAACAGTAATCCAAAAACATATGGGACACCCGATATATACATTCATATATTTTAGTATACTATTTTTTAAATGTAGTTTTCTATGTGATTTGCGTTGTTCCTTTAGCGGTTTGTTTCATCACATGCCGAAAAAGAACAAATTATTTTTTGTTGAAACAAATTGTGTCCTTGGCTTCAAAGCGAAAACGCCACATCTTAGGTATAGCGCCGACAACAAAAAAAGATAAGTAGATAAAATGATCTAGGTACATAAGTTGTATTAAACAATAAGTCAACTATAAAATACCGCAAAATGCAGAAGGAAAGTTGGCTTCTGCTTAAAGTACTCGAAAAACAAATTGTTCTATGTAACGGGTAGTAAGCCGGAAGTCAATTAGCTAAAAAACGTCAACAAATCGACTCTTTTTGATTTACCGCCCATAGACGGAGATATATATTTTTTACTTAAAATGTTATTTGTACATTATTCATCATTAAATCAAAATACTTGATTTCAATTCTTTTTTCCGTATTAAATAAAGATTTTTTATTAAATTTATTAATTAATATAATTAATCGTAGGAATTGAAATGTTTGTTAATCAAGTTTTTTTGCAATAAGCCTATCCTACATTTAATCTTAGTAAGTATTTAATAAACATATTTTTCTAATTTGACTAAAAAAGTAACATTTTTTGTAATAGCAGCAAGTGTCCAAATAATCCACCTACTTTAAGTAACTAGTTACATAAATTAAACATTATGAGACTGATAATGTCATAATTATGTTGATTATTGCAAAAAGAAAAGGAATAAAAAACATTTTTGGTATTTAAATTAATATATTATGTATACCTCTATTACTTTTGAAAGTATATATAGGAAGAACGAAGATTGGTTATATAAAAATACATTTGGGCAATATACTTACAAATAGTAATAATTCTGGCTCGTTCGGTGTTTTAAAAAGTCTTAGTTCATCCCAAATCGGAACAAAATAATCGAAACACTGTTTCACTTAATACACGGGGAAAAAATAAAAATATCCATAACTATGTACTATGGAAAATAACCCACTTTCTAGGAAACTAACAAAAAAAGGAAAAAGGTAATGGTAAATATTTAAATATTTTAAAAGTATCAGATTGGTATGAAGTTAAGTATTTTTGCCAAATAAATATTTTCTAATATCTTTAAGTGGAAGTACATAAAATTATAATTATAGGTTAGTCATTTTTTTCCAAACAGTTCCATAAATAAAATAATCTACTCAAAATTAGAAAAAATTTAAACAAACTAACCAACATTAATTTAAATAATAAACACACATCACGACGACACTGCCTCTTCCTAATTTATTCTGATTCTACATGTTGTAAGCGACCAGCTATTCTATGCCGGTTCCTCTTAGAAAGGTAGAGAGAGATAATGAATTGGACTACTGTATATTTTGTACAGAGTAAGAACATAATATTTTTTAATACTATTTTCGTGGTATACTAATGTCAAACTACAGCGTATTGACTCATTTATAAATTATATGGAGATATAAAAAATATAGTAATTTTTTTGGAGCATTTTCAGTTCCATACATTAGTTCCATACATTAGCCTGATACATAGTGCTAATATTAAGCCTCAGTCCCCTTCTATTTCTAAATTCCGTTATTTTTAAAACATAGATGCATTTTAATAAAATATTTTTGTGCCAATACTATTTTTATTTTAAAAAAATAAGACATATCGGGATTTATAATATGGATCGGCATCAATGCAATATATCCGTCGAGTGCACAAAATGCGATTACCTGAGAGTCAGTAGCAGAAGCTTCGATCCAAATTAGGGAAAATAGTTTTGAGAACGTTCTTTGTTTAACCCTGTTATTACGGGTTCAAATATAAGATATGTAACGGCTCCTGATCGCTGAGGAGGTCGTTCTAAACTACCACCTTAAAAGAAATATTTTAATTATTTATTTTAAACTAAAGAGAATTTACTGGCGCTCTACCCTACTGATATTCCTGAAAATTGTTCTTTACCTGAAAAACTTATCTATGATTTTGTAATAAAAATAAATGTATAACTTCTTAAAATCACTACAGTTTTTAACACCATCTCTGACACTTTAGTTTTCCAGGAATATTTCGATCGCTTTTCCTTCACAGATTTTTTCAATAAAGTTTAATTTTATTTTATAAATTCATATTGCTTAAAAAAAGACTTACCTGAACTGTCAATAGATACTGAGTAATATATTATTTTTTGTTTACATTGTTTTAGGACGTAAAACAAGCACTGCTGGATACTTTTGGCTTCATGGCAAAAGAAGAAATACAATCCTGGATTAAATTCCTGGATTATTTTATTGAAGAAGGGACTAAAGCACTCGAAGAATATTCATTGGAATAAAATATATATTTAACCTACAAATAAACCGTTTAATTTTATTATTTGTCGACGGTTTTGGAAAAAAATAAATAAAAGATTTAATTATAAAAATAACTTTTAATTAAAATTTTATAATATATAGCGATTGCATTACTGCATTCTTCGAAACATTACATAGAAAATCTTAAACTTTGTCAACCTTGTGGTCCATTTTTGTAACTTTGATTTCTAATCACATCTGCTTTGACTAGACGACCGATATACAAAAAATAAACTAATATAAATATATAATTTAAAAAATATTTAACAAATGAGATCAATAAGCCTCGTTCATATATCTTGTGGAAATATATCTAAAACAATGCACGAATGTTTTGCTCATATGGACGTAATACTTAAAAGACTTCACCACTCCTAAGTCCCAATTTTAATTAATTGGTTTTTTTAAGTCACCAAATACATTTAGGATCAAAATAACTTAATATGCTTTATTACCAACTGCATGAAATATGTTGCAGATTATTTTTAAAAGCGTAGAAATTTTAAAGTCATCGAATATATGTAAAATTTTGTTTCTACGCCTATGGATCGTCACTAATTAATTTCTGTTTGGATTTTTTGATTTTAATACGTCAGCGTAGAAGGGTCAATTTTTAATTTTTTTTATTTCTGTTATTCCATGTTTGAACGGAGAATTCCTTATTTAAACACGAAATTCCCTATTCAAACACGAAATTCCGTATTCTAACATGAAATTCCGGGTTTGAACACGGAATGTCTTGTTCGAACACGATATTCCTTGTTCGAACACGTAATTTTGTTTCCTAGCTATAAATATTAATGGAATATTTTCAGATCACTATTGGAGGCCTGGGGATCTTGGAAACGATCAGAGAAATATATGAATATTCTCAGATTTTCACTCTTTTCGACTTTAATCTTTCAATTTCATTTTCATGTCACTCTTAATTGTTAGGATCTAGTTCCTGATTCCCGAATTTCATTTGGATCGGATGCAAATTACGCCTTTAAATTTTTCCTCCTTTCCTCCCCAACCCAGTGAATGGACGAGGGGTAAAGTGAGAGGGTGATTTCTAGTAATTAATTTGTTAATACCTTTAAAAAAAAGTAAGATTGTTGGGATCGAAGAATTTTTTTTGCCACCAAAAAATGGTGATGACGTCATATTTCTCAAAATGATGTCATAAAAATATACTAATATTTACCCAAATTTACGCATCTGAAAAACAAAATTGACTTCTGAATGAAAATTAATGACAAATAATAAGTATGCCGTATATGGATACCAAAGGTCAAACGTTTCGGTATCAATAATTTGTTTATCTCCCCTCCTCCCCCACCGCAAAACGTTCAAGTAAAGTATTTGGGACCAAAATCTGAATATTTTTAAAGAATCTGTATTCCCCCTTCTCTCCCCGAATTCCCCGAAGAGTAACCTGTAAATATAAATATATTCCATAGTTCGAATAAAAATTTCCGTGTTTAAACAAGGCATCTTTGTGTTTGAACACGGAATTACAGCTTTCCGGAACTCCTGTGTTTGAACAGGGAAATCTGGTATTCCTTATTCAAACCCACAAATTTCTTGTTAAAACACGCAATTCCGTTTTCGAATACGGAATTTTGTGTTTGATAGGGAATTACAGATATCTCTGTTCTATTACAGAAATTTCTTATTCAAACACGGAAATCTGCAATTCCGTGTTCCAATACAGAAATTCCTTGTTCAAATACGGAATTATATGTTCGAATAAGTAATTTTTGTGTTTAAAAACGGAATTAACGTGTTTGAAGACGAAATTTTCGTGTTTGAATATGGAATTATAGATTTTCGTGTTACAATATGAAATTTCTGTGTTAAAACAGGGAAATGTCTAATTCCTTATTTGAACACGCTAATTTCATATTCAAACACGGAATTTCGTGTTTTCAAATACGAAATTTTGTGTTTGACTATTGACTTACAGATTTCCCTGTTCTAAAACATGGATTCCTTATTTAAAAACGAAAATCTGTAATTTAGCGTTCAAATACGGAATTCTATGTTTGAATACATAATTTTTGTGTTATAACACGAAATATTCGTATTTCATCACATAATATTTGTGTTCGGATAAGGAATTTATGTAAGTATAGATTTTTGTGTTTGAACACGGAATTTCTGTGTTAGAACATAAAAATCTGTAATTCTGTATTCAAACACATAAATCTGTAATTCCGAGTTCAAATACGAAAATTCCGTTTTTAAACGATTAAATTAATTATTTGAAAACAGATTTCCCTGTTCTAAAACATGGATTCCTTATTTAAAAACGAAAATCTGTAATTTAGCGTTCAAATACGGAATTCTATGTTTGAATACATAATTTTTGTGTTATAACACGAAATATTCGTATTTCATCACATAATATTTGTGCTCGGATAAGAAATTTATGTAAGTATAGATTTTTGTGTTTGAACACGGACTTTCTGTGTTAGAACATAAAAATCTGTAATTCTGTATTCAAACACATAAATCTGTAATTACGAGTTCAAATACGAAAATTCCATTTTTAAACGATTAAATTAATTATTTGAAAACAAAATTCGGTGTTTTAAACAAAAAAATTCTTGTTTGAACAAGGAATTACAGATTTCCCCGTTCTAACACGGAATACTGTATTTAAAGACGAAATTAAAGAACTCCATCAAAACCTTTGTGATTTATCTAAATTAGCAAACTCAAAAAACAATGAAATTATTAAAAATAGATATAAAGACTTAAAAATAATATATAAAAATATAGTAAAGAAACACAAATTAGAATATAACAACAATAGAATCAAAAACTCTAAAAATGTCAGTAAAGAATGCTGGAAAATTATTAATGAAACAAGAAATAATACCAATAATAATAGAAACCATACTCCAAAAATTTTAATTGATAAAAAAGTTGTCTCTGACAAAATTATATTATGTAATCACTTTAATGATTTTTTCTGGATATTAAAGCACAGAAACCAGTCACACATATGTTGAATCTACATCCTCATTCAATTTTCACTTTCTTTCTTACTCCAACCACACCTTATGAGATAGAGGAAATCATATCTAAAACAACACCAGGGAATGATGGAGTTCATGGGAAAGCTCTAAAAGCAGTAAGTGACATTATATCATATCCACTTTCACACATAATTAATCTTTTAGTCTTTTTGTAATCCGAATGTAATCCGAATGTAATGAAAATATCAAAGTCAGTACCCATATTTAAGAATAAAGGGTCCGTAAACGAGGTTAGCAACTACAGAAATATTAGTCTACTGTCGCAATTTGCTAAAATCATTGACTATAACTACAATATGAGATTAACCAACTTTTTAGAACAGAAGCGACTAATACCCAACTGGCAACATGGCTTTAGACAAAAAATGTCAACAGAAACTGCAATAAGTTGACTCTCTAATAATGTCTATAATCACCTAAATGATAAAAAATATCCACTAGCTCTTTATTTCGATCTTAGTAGAGCATTTGACACTGTAGATGATGATCTTCTCTTAGAAAAGTTGTATCGCATAGGCTTTCGAGCTGTCACGAATGACTGGGCTGCATCCTATCTGCGGGGAAGATCTCAGATTGTAGCTACAGAAGATGCTAAATCCGCTCCCGGGCTAATAACAGAAGGAGTTCTCCAGGGCTCATTTTTAGCTCCACTATTTTTCATCTTGTTTATGAGCGACTTAGAATACTCATGTCCAACACCTAGAGTAACTACCGTTGATTATGCTGATGACACTAATCAACTTATTGCTGAAAACAATCTGTCTGATACAGTTTCTGCCTGAAATATTAGCGTAAATGAATTCCAACATTGGTGCTCAAATAATGGCCTATTGCTTAATTCTAATAAAACAATATTTATGCTTTTCCAACCAAAAAATTCAAGCCTCGACGAAGGTCAATTAATAAAAATTGAACATAAATCTCTACACCAGGTCAGGGAGGTCAAGTTTTTAGGTCTAACAATCGATCACAAGCTCACATGGGAAAGCCACATAGATAATTTTGCATCTAAGCTGTGTAGCATTTGCTTTGTCATCAGACAACTTAAACCAACTGTGACTTTGGATGTACTAAAACTAACCTACCACGGACTAGTGCATTCGGTACTTTCATATGGCTTAATTTTCTGGAGAAATTCGGCCCATATGAATAAAGTCTTGCTCTTGCAAAAAAGAATTATTAGGTGCATGATAGGAGCCTATCCTTCGGAACATTGTCAGCAACATTTTATCAAGTTATCACTATTACCTCTTTCATGCTTGTTTATTTATCTATCGGTGTTACATATTAAAAAAAATCTTTCACATCAAACAACTAATATTATGATATACCCCTATCCTACTCGAAGAGGTGGCGAACTTCGTACACCCTTCTCAAGATGAACAGTGGGTCAATACTCTCCGTATTATCAAGGAGCCATCTTGTTTAACCATTGTGTTAGAATTTTAGGCAATATAGAAAATGTTAAAAAAATTCAAATTTATGCTATTTCAGTTTCTTGCAGGCAGTGCCTTACTTTGTTGATGAACTTTTAGCATATTAATTTTATAACTTAAAATATATTTTACCTAATCTTAATTTTAACTGTCTTTTGTGTTAGTTTTCTGTATATTATATATTATCTATTATCTTAGCTCTAGAATTTTAAACTTCTATGAATTGGACAGTGTGAATGGTGTTTTTGTTTCTTCGGTTTTTTCTATGGACGTACTGTGTATGAGCTGACTAGTCTGATAAGTTTTTTTAAACATTGTAAAAATGTAAAAATACTTTATTGACAAATAAATTCTATTCATATCTATGATTTCGTGATCAACACATACATTCCATGTTTGAAAACTGCAATTTCTTGTTCGAACACGGAGTTCTGTGTTCGTATAAGGAATTTTCGTGTTTGAACATGGAATTACAGAGTTCCGTGTATAAATATGAAATTTCTATGCTAGAACAGGGAAATCTGTAATTCCTTATTTGAACACGC